GAAGAAGAAGAAGAAGAAGAAGAAGAAGAAAGGGAAGAAGAAGAAGGAGAAGAATAAGGAGGAGGAGGAGGAAGACGAGGAGGAGGAAGAGGAGGAGGAGGGGAAAGAGGAGGAGGAGGAGGAGGAGGAGGAGGAGGAAGAGCAAGAGGAGGAGGAGAAGAAAGGGAGGAAGAAGAAGAAGAAGAAGAAGAAGAAGAAGAAGAAAGGGAAGAAGAAGAAGGAGAAGAATAAGGAGGAGGAGGAGAACAAAGAGAAGAAGAAGAAGACGACGAAGAAGGAGAAGGAGAAGGAGGAGGAGGAGAAGAAGGAGGAGAAGAAGAAGAAGAAAAAGAAGAAGAAGAAGAAGAAGAAGAAGAAGAAGAAGAAGAAGAAGAATGAAGAAAAGAAGAAGAAGAAGACAAAGGAGGAGGGGCAGGAGGAGGAGGAGGAGGAGAAGAAGAAGAAGAAGAAGAAGAGGAGGAGGAGGAGGAGGAGGAAGAAGAGGAAGAGGAAGAAGAGGAAGAAGAGGAAGAAGAAGAAGAAGAAGAAGCCACCTAAGGGGAATTGGTGAGGGAGGGAAAGGAAGGAATGGATCTGTAAAAGCCTCACCAGGTTTAAAACCCCATAATTCATTTGCACCCCTCGGCTTTTGGTGGGCAGAATGGGTTCCTCATCCCCTTCCTGCGGAACTTCCACCCCCACCATAAAGCCCCTCCCTTTCACCCCCCAACCAGTCTGAGTAAGAACGAGAACAAGATGGAAGTAAGCCTACCCCTAATCATTGTAGTACATGGTTCGCCTTGGCTGAAGAACAGCTGCTTAGGCTTCTTGTGCCGCACTCACCCCCTTCATGTTGGCTAGACCAACGTTCCGGGCTGCCAGATTGCACAAGGCATTTCCCCCGCCTGAGTATGGTTTCTACGGAGCATGGTCAAAGACAGGCAGTACGGTTGGATCTCCACAATCATGATGATGCCTTTTGGCCACAGTCTCAGAGCTGCTAAGGCTGTGGAAACAGCTCGCCCTTCGAGGGGCCAATGAATGACCTCGACCTGGAATGAAGCTCCGAGGCAGCCCTTCCTTGGCAATTATTGTTTAATCACAGGTCGAACTCGTTTGGCAACAATCTCCCTGGACCCTCTCGGTAAAAAATGGGGTTGTAGTCAGGGCTGCACCGGCCACCGGCCAATTGGACCAGACCGGACCCAACCGGGCCGGTTGGAACCCTGGTGGTCGGGTTGGAACCCCGGTGGTCCAACCGGATACCGGGCCCAATCCTGTTAGGAACTTGTGGAATCAGGAGGAAGGTGATTGGCTGCTCATTCAAGAGTTGGAAGGATTGTGCCCCTTACAGAAGAGACATTCGAGCTTCGAGCTAGTTATACGGACCTGGTCACATTTATTATTGGAAGATGATCCTCCAGCAGGGCAGTGTCCTTCAGGTGGGGGAACACATCATTGAATTTGGCACCGAGTTCAGAAGGAATTGGGAACAGACCCTGGACCAGTTAGCCTGGCGGATTCTAAGTGTGCCTGTTCCCCAGGCTAACTGGTCCAGGCTAACTGGTCCAGAAGGTATGCAGCTGCCGGATGTGGATATGCACCTGGCGGCCTTCCACTGGCGGATTCTATGTGTGCCTGTTTCCCAGGCTAACTGGTCCAGTCTAACTGGTCCAGAAGGATAATGCAGCTGCTGGATGCGGATATGCAGCTGGCGGCCCTCCAGACCCTGAACCAGTTAGCCTGGCGGGTTCTAAGTGTGCCTGTTCCCCAGGCTAACTGGTCCAGAAGGATATGCAGCTGCTGGATGCGGATATGCAGCTGGCGGTCCTCCAGACCCTGGACCTGTTAGTATGGCGGACTGAAATACAGCCCCACGGACACACTTAGATATCCCCTTGGTATGGAGGGCCGCCAGCTGCATATCCGCATCCGGCAGCGAAACACCCCCTCTTGCCCAAAACTGGGTGAGAGTGGTCCAAGCTACTTCTCTGTGAATGGCAAGATGGCCTTCGGAATCATTTTTCCAAAGGAACGAAGACAATCACTGCTTTAATCAGAGGAGTCCCTTTCTATATTGAGGTCAAAGCATCTAAGATCGAACTGAGTGCCATCATGATGCTCTTAATAACATTACAGCTATAGTGACCACTGACCGGAGGTTGCGCCCCTGGTCATTAGCGCAAGAGAGGACCCTAGATGTGTTCGTGCGACCTACCACCTTCACCCGAATAACCCCCGGTCATTGCAGCTATAGTGACCGGAGGTTGCCCCCCCTGGTCATTACCACAAGCAGTCCCTCGCAGGAGAGAAGACCCTGGATTTGCGACCTACCGTCTTCACCCGAGGACCCTGGATGTGCGACCCACCGTCTTCACCCGAATAGCCCCCGGGCCAGTCATTACAGCTATAAAAGGATCCTCTCTTTGCTGTCTCAAGATGGCACAACCCCATTCCTGCGGTGAGGATGTGGCCTAAGGTATGGAAATCACAGCCCTGGGCCTCCTCCCACTAGCAATGTTGAGTTTCCTCAACCACCCAAATCTGGACGTGTTTGTGGAGATGTGCGGTTGAGGAAACTCAATGCGCTTTTCTGCACATCTCCACAAACACTTCCAGATTCGGGTCTTGAGGAAACTGAACCCTGCTAGTGGGATGAGGCCCCTGGTTTATCAATTGTTGTAATCGTGGTAAAAATACCTATTTGCAAAATGCAACCCCCCCCACATCCGATTGCATGATGAGTAGGCCCAAGCACATCTGGACGTAAGTATTTTAACCGGCATCTGGACGGGGGTAGGCCCAAGTGTATGATGTGCAGAGGCCCAGGTTCTCTTACCCTTAGATCATGCACATGGGCCTACGCACGTCCAAATTTGTTTTTTGCACTTGAGCGTACCCATGTCCTCAAAGCTCAAGGTTCAAACCAATTTTTTTATTTATTTTTTTGACACACAACACACATGTACCCCTTCTATTCAGAATCTAGGGGGCGACAGTCCGGTTAAACATCCCCCCCCCCCAGTAAACTTCGTGGCAAAAACCTTTCCCCCCCCCCAAGTAAACTTCGTGGCAAGGGTCGCACTAAGGGGGGTGATATGAGCAGCCTCCCTTAGTGGCACCCTGCGTTCAAGGCTCCGCCTATTAGTGGGGAGCAGCACTTTGCTGGAAACCAGGTCAAGTGCCCCAATTGGTACATTGACAAGTCCGAAGGGATGCGTATACTAAATTGGAGGGAGATGATGGAGGGTAGGTAAGCAGAAGAGGAAAGCGGGAACTGCTGCCCTATGCCCCATTCTAACATCTGCCTCTGTTTTCATATTCTGCACTCAGTTTCTCCTTTGGATGCTTTGTGATGAATGTCCCACTCTCCGCATGGCAGCCTTTGCTTCTTCCTTTCTGATATTTACGTCTGGAGGCGTTCCCTTCGAGTCCACTGTGGAGATCAGCACCAGTAGTCCTGTCTTGGCAGGGGCCCACGGTTCCAACTTTCCCATCTTGACTCCTCTCTGGTGCAGCTGTGCCCTGCTCTCTGTCCTAGGCTAGTGGTCCCAGCGTCTCCATCCGCTTATCTTTTCCGCTCTGCGCTTGTGCTTGGCAAAGGGGAGGAGGTAGGACCGGGGAGCCATCTAAGGGGGCGTAGGTGGGGGTTCGCGGGTATCAGAAAAACAGAAGGGGGTTGATGAGGTGGGGGGGGAGGGTATTCTGGTGGGGTTGTGAAAGGAGAGGTGGGGGAGGAGGAGGAGTCTCAGGTGGGGGTTCCGAAGGCAGGGGTGGGGGAGGAGACCAGGTATTCAGGGAGGGTCTTCAACAGGGGTTGCAAGGCCTTTTGCTGTTGTTGTTGTTGTTGTTGTCTTCTCCTCATCGGGGGACAGTTATATATATATTCTCTCACTGTCTCACCTCACATATTTTTAAACTGGCGTTCTGCATGTTATGGAACATATATTTTGCCTTTCACGACCTACCATTACTCCTAAGGGGATATACAGGGGACCCCTGCAAGCATAGCTTTTCTACCGCTCTTCCGTGAAGGAAGGGAGGTTACCTCTGTTGGTGGAGGGAGGTAACGGCATGTTTGCCCCTTTGCCTAGCGGTTTAATTTTAGATGACTAGATGTTAAAAAAAAAAAAGAAGAAAAAAAAAAGATAACTAGATGCAGGTATCTTTTCCTTTTTCTTTCAAATCAGGGACCGTAGATGGGGTTACATTTTCCTTCTTTTTCATACAGGGACTTTTTTTTTCTTTTTCTTTTTTTGTTACAATTCAATTTTTAGCTGTTCACTGAGCGACTTTTTCTACAGGGGCGAGGTCCCATTAGCAGTCGGGTAGGAGTGTGGCCGATCCAGTGTGACACTCAGTGGCAGCGGCCAGACAAGTTCATTACGAATTTCTGGGCTGGGAAAACAGGAAAAGGGCCAAAAAAAAAGAAAAGAAACAGAGACCTCCCACAGGAAGTCACGGCAGAGTGCTTCCCAGCCATCAGATCACAAATGATCTGATGGTGGTGGTTGCAAAAACAGTGAACAAA